AGTGTCCTTAGGCATCTAAAAATCATAAGCCTCAGCTCCATTCTTCGTACCCCTTTTTAACACCGAGTACCAGGTCTGTTCTCGACTCAACGGTTGAATCTCAAGGGTCATCTATTGCATTATCCCAATCGTCTCCATGGTTTCCTTCTCACTATAACCACATCGGCCCATTGTGAGACACTAGCCATGGAGCTCTCTTAACCCCAAGCGAATGCTACCCTCCCAACTGAAGATTGACTCAACCTCGACCTCTATAGTATATTGCTCATAGTTCCATGCAACTTGCGGTACCTCCTGTACCCGAGTACTAACTCACACAGGTGTAAGACATCAGATGAAAAACAATACCCCTCAACATGGAACCTTCCTCAGAATCCAGAATCTCATCTCGCCTATCCAACGCACCACCAGAGCTAAACTCGAACTCGAGAGTTTGGTCCGACCTAGAGTTGGAACCACTCGACCCAATGAAACACTCAAATCATGACTCATGACCCGCAACCTGCATGTATACCCCTCCTCTAATTTCTTGGGTTGAGACAACCACAACTCTAATCAGATTATATTGATTCCAGACAAATATGGAGACCCCAGTCTCACCCATAGTTCGACCACCCGAATCCCAAAACTCAACTATTAGGGCTACCCAAGCCTAAAACTCATTTGCGTCTTGATCTGACCAAAAAGTACTCATCACAACACCCTCTCGTTGGCTAGTGAGTACTACGACTCCTCGCAGCATCACAACAACCTCTCACTGACTAGTGAGTAATATGGCTTCCCGCAACATCACAACAATCTCTCGTTGACTAGTAAGTACTACGGCTCCCCGCATCATCACAACAACCTCCCACTGACTAGTGAGTACTACGGCTCCCCGCATCATTACAACAATCTGCCACTGACTAGTGAGTACTATGGCTCCCCGTAAAATCACAATAACCTCTCACTGACTAGTGAGTACTACGACTCCTCGCAGCATCATAATAACCTCTCACTAACTAGTGAGTACTACGGCTCCCCACAACATCACAACAACCTCTCACTGACTAGTGAGTACTAAGACTTCCCGCAACATCACAACAATCTCCCGTTGACTAGTGAGTACTACGGCTCCCCGAAAGATCACAACAATCTCCTGCTGACTAGTGAGTACTACGGCTCCCCGCGGTGTCACTGCACTCCTTTTCTATCTCATGTATGTTGCAGCTCCCTTCAGCCTTACAACACTTCCTCTTACCGCCTACAGTCTCAACCTCAAGTCGACACCACACACTGCATCCGTTAACCTACGCCCCACAATCCAACATAGATAGGTGCACACATACCCATCCAAAAGTACGCGTCACTACTCCTAACGGAAACCAACATGACAAACTCTTTTTCTCATTGCAATCCTCTTTCTTAAATAATCTCATTTAATCACCAGTTATTCGAAGTGCTCCCACTGGAACCATAGATACTTGCTACCCACTTGCCAGTCCCTAACTCAGAACTCAAAATAATCTATAATAAGGACATTATTCCCGGATACCTTGGTTCACCAACACAGAATATCACGATGTTTTGCCCAATCGTCTAACCTCATACTCACGACCCTATGCTTGGATACCACATTACTCTCTCAGAATCTCTCAACCGATCTTTCTATGACTGGTACTACTCATACCGACTCTGGAATTGGTTGTCTCGTCAACTTCAGCCCTTTCTAGACTGCATAACAGCCCATACATTTAACCAAATTTCTCAACCGCCGAACTCACCTTACTAGCCAACCACCTCGAATTCACTATAATAACCTCGAAGAATTCCTAACCGCCACAAGGTCTCCGACCAATAGTCACTTGTCATGGAGACACTCATCCTTTCTCAAATACATACCACATCTATCATCTCGCTCTGCACCAAACCTCGATCACCAATAACCCTGGACTCATGAATCCGCATTGTAGGTCTTTATATCCAGGTCTCTAACCGTTCTCGAACAAATCTTTGATCCCTTTAATAAGATACCCGGTTCTCCCCCACTTATGGTTCGAGCCATCACTAATTGGCGCACCAACAATCCATCCCATAGACTGTTTCCACTAGTAACATCGCACCTAATCTTAGAAGGTGCTACACAACGTTCGATGATCTCCCCGACAGAGATCAAGTAACTCCCAATACCCCGAATCTCAGATGTGATCCTCCGAACTTCCTAACATGACTGCCTCTAGTCATTCAGAATCTCACACCATTCCATCACCGGACCTCCCAACTGTCCAATATCAACCCTGACTCTTAGTCTGAAGATAATGAACGGTCATTCCCCTCATCCTCGGCTCCTCGATCAACGCTTCATCATGACACTTATGATAAGAGTAGAACCCACATTACCACTCTCGATACTCATCAAAGACAATAAGAGCCACTGCCCTGATATACTCCTCTTGATCATCCGACGCTGCAGCTAACACATGCCCTAGTATACTCAAATAGGGTGTATCCTGGTCCTTGACCATCTTAGTCCCCACTGATGACCTGTTTAAGCTATATCTTTACCTCGCTGCAGACCTACTGCCATATAACTTTAATTGAAGATCACCATTAGGGCAATCTTGTCGGGCTCACCCCCAAACTATGAAATCGAAATCTCAACACCTCTTACATCTCCCACAGGAAACGGAATTAGAACCACTCAGGTCACCGAAAGTGACATCTCCATTATCGGCTGGTCGCCTATCCCAGACAACATTCTTCCATAACATACCATACCTACTCATTCCTAAATCTTGCGACTCCAACTGACATGTCACCAACAATCCATCAGAGCTAACTAGATTTCCCTCTCAAGTAATGCTCCACTAAAACTCATTCATCATGGCCTTCTGGCCACATACTCTTTCACATCTAATCTCAGTCTAGACAATCACCACAAAATAATCGATAAAACCAATAGCACTAACCGCTACATGTCATGGTACTCAAACCATGTGGCCACCTCTCGATCTGCGATGAATCATGTTATCCCCTCTTAATCTACTACGAATCATGGTACTCGAACCATGTTCTCTCTTCTCAATCTGCCTCATATCATGATACTCGAACAATGACATCACCTTTCGATCTGCTACAAGTCATGGTAATCGAACCATTACATCACCTTTCGATCTGCTACAAATCATGGTACTCGAACCATGATATCACCTCTCGATCTGATACAAATCATGATAATTGAACCATGACATCACCTTTCGATTTGCTAATTAGATCCTCTGGAATACTCCCTGTATCGGGTATGGGTCCTCTGCTTTTAGTAGTATGGGCCCATACTACCTTCTATATCTACCCATACTCTCTACACAGACCATCCCAGATTCCTTAAGTAGCCGCTCAACCTTCTCAATCGCCAATCCCAATACGCGTGCCCGCTCCCCAGTGAAATGCTCTACTCTGTCAGCGTACTCATCTGACTAAGGTCACATCCTAGGCCCTTCCTAGGTTCTCACACTTCTCTGCCATTAGCTGCTAAGAAAATCCATATGATGCCAATCATCTACCTCCTGAATATTGTCACACTCACTTGGTAGCTGACTCCCATCATCGGGAATTCCACCAAGCATGAACCAAGGAGAACTTGGGCATCAAATAAACATGTAAAACCCGCTCTAGGTGATAACTCCAGTTGCTCTAATCATTCTCAAAAGATATCATTGATCTCTACAACTCTACCCCTCGCGAGTATCTAGCTACTCTCTCGATAGGCTCCACAAATCCTCATCTAGGTATCTCTCCTAGATTACTCCTCTACTCAAATCCCTCTCTACAAGGATTCCTACTGGATACTCTCACTTAGCACATACTCGAAGGTGCATCACAAATAACAGCAACTCCTAGGCTAAGGCATCACAATCAGGCCACTCTAGTCCTAAAATATGAAATACCTAGCCTATCTTTAACATGCATAATATCTCATAACATATCTCATAACACAAAAGTAAGGGTATATTGGGAAATCACTATTCATGTGCTGGCTGGTTGTACATACAGTGACAACCCGATGCCTCGGATCAATGTAATGACCTAAAAAGTCAAGAATTGTAATCTCTTTTGATATAGTGAAATTAGCGCCAAAAATAAAATGTGCAAAAGTCTCTATTGGGTTGCATATAATGAGAAATATCGTATCAAGGGTTTCAGAAATATAAAGAACACAAAAATCCGAGTTATAACGAAGAAGTTATGACCAATCTAACATTCAAAGCAAAACCGACAATATTGTTAAACGTAAAACGCGAAGTTTCAATACAATAATTTGTAGCCTTAGGTATGTAAATGAAAGTTATAAATTTCATTAAACCATAAGCATACGTAAAAATAACGTTCAAATATGACTTCGTATGAGGAACTTATGATTTTTCTAAAGTTTCGGAATAGCAATAGACAACTAAA